TCAATCTTTGCGACTTCCTCACGCTCCTTTTTCTTCTTTTTCTTTTTACTTTGTTTTTCTTCAACTCTAACAGGCTCGTCAACCAAATCATTCTGCTTGACAAGGAATTCTTCCAATTTAGATGTTTCTGCTTTAGGCATTTCTGAGGGCATTTCATCACTCTTCGCCTCTTCAAGTTGTGGAACCCTTCGCAGCTTTCCTCTATCCTTTCTATCTTCCGCTATTTGTAGCAGATTGGCATCGAAAGCAGTTTGCAGTAAAATAGCTTCCAGTGTCTCCGATTCCATCGGTTTGCCAAGGTTGAATTCGACTACAACTTCTTCAATCTTTGCGACTTCCTCACGCTCCTTTTTCTTCTTTTTCTTTTTACTTTGTTTTTCTTCAACTCTAACAGGCTCGTCAACCAAATCATTCTGCTTGACAAGGAATTCTTCCAATTTAGATGTTTCTGCTTTAGGCATTTCTGAGGGCATTTCGTCACTCTTCGCCTCATCTTCTATTTCGAATGCCATTTCTGCCTCTTCCTTTACCGTTTCACCTATTTCCTTAACTTGTTTTTCTTTTCTAAACCTTATAGAAGTTGCTTCATTTATTGCAGTCTGCAGAATTACGGCAAGAGTAGCATCATTACTAGGCTTTTGTAATTCCATTTCGAATGCCATTTCTGCCTCTTCCTTTACCGTTTCACCAATTTCCTTAAATTGTTTAAATTGTTTTTCTTTTTTAACCTTCATTGAAGTTGCTTCATTTATTGCAGTCTGCAGGATTACCGCTAGAGTAGCATCGCAACTTGGCTTTTGTAATTCCGTATCGAATGCCATTTCTGCCTCTTCCTTTACCGTTTCACCTATTTCCTTAAATTGTTTTTCTTTTTTAACCTTCATTGAAGTTGCTTCATTTATTGCAGTCTGCAGGATTACGGCAAGAGTAGCATCACTACTAGGCTTTTGTAATTCCATTTCGAATGCCATTTCTGTCTCTTCTGCCTCTTCCTTTACCGTTTCACCAATTTCCTTAACTTGTTTTTCTTTTTTAACCTTCATTGAAGTTGCTTGATTTATTGCAGTCTGCAGGATTACGGCAAGAGTAGCATCATTACTAGGCTTTTTTAATTCCGTATCGAATGCCATTTCTGCCTCTTCCTTTACCGTTTCACCTATTTCCTTAACTTGTTTTTCTTTTTTAACCTTCATTGAAGTTGCTTCATTTATTGCAGTCTGCAGGATTACGGCAAGAGTAGCATCATTACTAGGCTTTTTTAATTCCGTATCGAATGCCATTTCTGTCGCTTCCTTTACCGTTTCACCAATTTCCTTAAATTGTTTTTCTTTTTTAACCTTCATTGAAGTTGCTTCATTTATTGCAGTCTGCAGGATTACGGCAAGAGTAGCATCATTACTAGGCTTTTTTAATTCCGTATCGAATGCCATTTCTGCCTCTTCCTTTACCGTTTCACCAATTTCCTTAAATTGTTTTTCTTTTTTAACCTTCTTTGAAGTTGCTTCATTTATTGCAGTCTGCAGAATTACGGCTAGAGTTGCATCATTACGAGGCTTTTGTAATTTCATTTCGAATGCCATTTCTGTCTCTTCTGCCTCTTCCTTTACCGTTTCACCTATTTCCTTATTTTTTTGTATTTCCACGTTTGCATGTGTTTTTACCATTGAGAAAATTTGCAGGGTTACCTGAAGAAATGCTTCGTTGCTTTTTTTTTGCAAATTCATTTCGAAGATCATTTCTGTTCCTTGATCGATTTCCTTAGTCACAGTTTCAAGCTTAACCTCATCTTTTTGTAATTTCAAAGTTATATCCTTTCTTTGCGTTGCATCTTCACTCGATTTGGTGTATTGTGGAGTGATTTCGTGGCCCAAATCGATTTGTAAGATGTCGAATGCCTGTTCATCGAATTTTTTCTGCTGATTTTTGTTGATAAATAGTTCTGTCGCATATTTCATGTTCTCTTCGATGGCTATTTCTGACCTGCTTTCCCATTCCTTTTGTTCAATTTTTGGAATTCCTTTTTTTTCGTCATCGACAGCTTTATGTGAAAATACTTCGCATATGGCTTCACGAAGAGTTTTATCCGTGCTTGCTACTGCTTTTTTTGTTTCGGTTTCGGTTATTTTAGACGTTGATGCTTGATTTAATTTTGTCACGTCATCGGAAAACGCAATGTCAGCTGACCTCATCTCTTCTAGAGGACTTTTAATTTCTTCTATTTTTTTAAAATTTTCGACATCTTGAAATGTCTTATTTGTCGCGTCTTGTTTTATCATAGATTTAACTTCTTCATTCATCATTCCTGCCTCGGTAGGTTCATGTAATTTTATGATATAAAGTTTTTCTTCTGTTAATGTTGGATATTGTTTATATTGATTACTGGCCTTTTCATTCATTGATTTATGCTCTGGTGTACGCTGCGAAATAATTGGAATAGTATAAATTTTTGCACACTTTGCAGTTTGGTCATGGTACTTTCGTTTCGAACCATTTGGTTCCTCAGGCTTTCGGTCCAGATCGCGAAATCCACGATTGTTTATTTCGCCTATTTTCAGATAACAATCAGTTGTCGCCATTCCTGCTAAATTGCTCGCTTCACATAAATAATGGCCCTCTATTACCGAATGCATTCTTAGGACGATAAGTCCTCTGTAGTAAAGCACTTCATAATTTCTGAAAAGCAGTAAAATTTATGCAGGAACATTAAAATATTAATTAATGTATACATTAAAAGTAAAAGTAAATGAAATTTGTCCTTGCAGCGGAAGCATAGTTTGCCATCGATTTTATAGAAAAGAACCCACTCGTTCTAATAGGGAAGAGTAAAAAAATTTTTAACAGAATCTTTTGATCCCTATTTTCATCTTACTAGCTGGCCTGCTTAGCCACATTTTGTGAGATTTAAATGTTTTTTCCATGATCGTAATCACTGTATAACAACAAAAATATGCTGCGCTAAAGCCAGATATAATAAAAGCTGCCGGAATGAATGGGATGACGCAATGATTTAATAGCAAAGATTAAAGGAAGTTTTGAGCTTTTTAAATAATTATCAAAGAAATTATAAGAATCCAAGGTAAATTATGTTTCAATAAGACTGAAGTGAATTAAAATGTCCATTCTCTTCTAATCAATCTTTTAAAATATTTAAAATAAAATCGCTAAATGAAATAAATATTTATTACCTGTTATCTCTGAGTATTGGACGGTCATTGTACAGCAAGCGAATCTTTGGTGATGGCGAACCATATACTTTACATTTCAATTCAACAAGATTTCGATCTATATGGATCGAGAATGGCTTTATAAATCGAGGAGGTTGTCCAATAGACGATGTAAAGTATTTCCTATTCACCATCCACTGTTCATTTATAATTTGGAATAAATACAGTTTTTCTACAGTTTCATGCTCAATTTGCCTGATATCAACTGTTTTTTTATAATTTGTATTAATTACCGTGATAACATTAGCATGAGCAAATTCCTGTTCAGGATTTGCTATTAAATTAATTTTCATGGTTATTTCATTATCATCTTTCTGCTCACCTTCGACAATCACTTCATGCGATTTCTTGATTCTTTCTTTAACTTTCCGTTTTTCTATTTTTATTTCTTCCACTAATTCATCTTGATAGCGTTCATGTAATTCTGAAACCTCAGTTGATTCATTGACATGAGCAATTAAACGAGCTGGACTTCCCTGCGATTCAGCATTAGCACTCCATTCTTCTTGTAATTCATGTTTAGTCGAAGTTATTTGTCGGAAATATTTTTGTCTATCGGCAACTGCCAAATTATTTCGCATGGACCTTTCCAAGGCTTCTTTATGGCATGATCTAATTTCGCGAATACATCTTTCTGCTACATGAGTGTAAAATTTTTTTTTAATTGTTTCTTCTTCTATAATAATTGTGGTTGTTGTTTCTTCCCTTACTAGGGGTTTTTTTCCTTCCTTCTTCGCAATTTTTGCCGACATTTTGTAGTTCAGTAAATTTATTACAATAGCATCAGCATCAATGATATAGTTCACTAATGGTGCCCAATAATGTTTGTTAGTTTCGACCTCAACTTCAAAGCCTTTTTGATCCATTTCCCACTTTATTGTTCCGTCATTCGTGCGCATTTGTTCATCCGTTAATACCACTTTATCATCGACAGCCATTTTCGTCGAAACTTTTTTTGTAAGTCGCGTCCATTCTTCCTTTTCTAGGTTTGTAACAATTGTTTTATCAATTTTCACATCGATTAGCATCTTATA